CTATAGATTCCGCTGCATTAGGATTTATTATTCAATAGATTTGAATGTGCACATTGTCGACGTTCCTAATAGAACCCAACAAATCCCAGATGAGGTAAATGAATTTAGGCTCATTTTCCTGTCATTCCATGATCTACTCATTTTTTGGTATTTTGGTTAAAATGTAATTAATAATGTTATATTTTGTAGTACTTTCCTAGTTACAGTTCAATTATCTGAGGAGCAAGTAGATGAAGTTCGAGAAGAATGGGCACAATATGTTATTCGGAGTTGTGTAAGATAAAAACTCTACTAATGTTGATTCGTTTGTTGTTATTGTTGTGTTATTTCAAATCTATTACGAAATATAATTAATATTGATATAGCCACGGCTAGTACTGCCGGCTCGACCGGTAGTATCTGATATAGCAAGTCATACCCGAACAGTTTTTATGGATATATATTGAAGAATACGCCTATACATGGGCTAAGACAAGGCCCAACTTGGACTATAGGGTACACTCTCTCTATAAAAAGGGGGAGAAGGTACTCATTTCCTCCATTCTCTCTAAGCATTCTCTCTCTACACCCTCTTTTTCTCTCTCTACATACTCTCTATGTACTCTCATATGAATCCAGTACTGACTTAAGCATCGGAGGCCCAAAGCCGAGCACCCCTCCCGAGGTCCCCGACTTTGGGTTCTTGCAGGTACGGTGGTCGTCCGATTCGAGGGAGCCCGGGTGACATCTTTGTCCTATCAAATATATAGTGATTGAGATGTTCCTTTTCAATTTTTAATTCTCGTAGATACATGTGCATTCTCTTCATACTTAACAGATATGTATTTTGTTATACTCCTATTACATTTTCTTTTACATCTTGTTTATAATATGTGATGAATGACTTAAATTTGATATCAATATATGTATAACTTTTGCGATGCAGAAGGTTGTAATCAAAAAATTGTTTGTTCAGGATATTGGCTAATGGTGGTCGAATTTCTTACTAGGAATATTAGTTTTTTTTCTTCATTTATTGGAATTGGAGATTCTTTCATGATTTTGTGCTACATTATTCTTTTGTACATAAACGAGCACAATGTTAAATTTGATGGATTGTGTTAGTAAGTTTTTGTTAGATTCATTATGTGTTGTTTTCTCGTTGGTTCTTACTTCTTGCTATATGGTGTTATGATTTAAGTCATCTGGTTCTTGTTTATTGATATAGGTTGTTAATAGATACAAGCACAAAATGATATAAATAAATATATATAT